AGCTTTAAGTTTGAAAAATTAGGTTCGAAGGGACCCTACGAGGGGACATGCAATTTTATCCCTTCACCTTTCTCCGTTGCATTCAACGTTTAATATCAGAATTCTTGGTTTAAATCCAAAGCTACAACCATGCTTAAATATTCCCCCTCTTTATTTAGTGGAGTATTTATTTTCTCCCAGCGTTTTTCTTGCTGGAAATCTCCCAACACGTTAGAAAATTTCCTCTCGTATTTGAGTTCTAAACATTTTTTTTGAGGAGGTAACCTATTTTTATGAACAGTTATCACAAAATACAGGTTATAGTTTGGCGAGCTGTTGGTTCTTTTTCTTGGTTGGTGAATGTTGTGTTCAGCCTCTTTTTCGTGTTTCTTTTTCTATTTATTTTTGAAAGTGTGTTTTTTAGTTGAACCTACAGAGTCATGACATAGGTTGAATTTTTTTTGCATGGTGCATTGATGCACTAGTGCATGGATACACTGCAGGTGCATGGTTGTACTGCAGGGTGCATGGATACACTTTGATACCTTTTAGCATTTTTGCTCAAATCCGAATTTAATGGATTTTGAATTATTTTTGAAACCTTTTTAAAACTTTGAATAAATTCAATTCAAGTCTAAAAATATTTTGCCTTAAATTTATTAAATCGAAACATAATTCAACAGACTTAGATTCCTTCATCCGCAAGGTTTCAAACTCACCTCGCAACACTTGGAGTCGAACCTTTTTCACTTTGTCAACTCCTTCGAGAGAATTTTGTAAATTTTCCCATGCTTCCTTTGCGATGTTGGCATTTGTCACTTTTACAAACTTCGAATCATCTAGACAATAGTGGATGAGGGTGAAAACTTGTTGATCATTCTTTCTTATCTTTGTCAAAACCTCATTTTCTTATTGTGACAATGGTGCCTCATCTTGGGGAGATTCATAACCATTTTGGGTGATCTCCTTACCATCTTGTGCCTTGAGTCTCATACGGATACTCTAATTCTCATAATTGTCTTTTGCAAGACGAGGGAATTGAAATGGAATCATACCATTGTTGGTTATCTTCCTTTATATTGACTCAAGCTCTGAATACCACTTATTGGGATATGAAAGTATGAAACTTAAACTTGTAGAGAAGAAGAAGAAAATATAAGATCATTCACTTGAATTAAAATGGAATACAATTGTTTTGCTTCATCACTTACAATCCTTTATATAGGAATTGTAAGTGACTATTAGAATAGTCATAACTATTCATTACATCTTTTTATCATACAAGAATCATATCTATTCATCATGAAAAGTTACAACTCTTCACTATTCATTTCTTATAATTGTAGCGGAGTCGGATCGAAGATTAATGGGATGTTAGATGACTTTTATAATTAAAATTAGGTTTAAAGTAAAAATAAATATCTAAATTATATTTATTTTTGTTTTTAGTATTTAATTTTTTTATCAAATTAGGTGCTTAAATTATTATATTTAATTATTTTAAATCATAATATTTTTTAATTAAAAAATATTTTTTTGATAAATAAGATGTTAACACGTCATATAAAGTTAGATATTTGTTTTAGTAAAAAAATATTTTAGGAACTTAAAGTTACAAAATGATATAGTTTAGAGACTTATTTTGACAAAAAAATTAGAATACTTAAAATATTTACATATAATAATTTAAGTACCTAATTTGATAATAAATAATTTAAATTATTAAAAAAATATAATTTAATTATATTTTTATTTTAAACCTTAAATTTATTAAAAAAATTGCAAAGTGGTAAAAGGTAGCATTATTTAAGGTGAGATCAGACTCTTAAAACAATGATTTGATAGATAATTAAAGTGATTAAGTCAAGGGTAAACCCGCTCCCATGTAAGTAGCTTTAAGTTTGAAAAATTAGGTTCAAAGGGACCCTACGAGGGGACATGCAATTCGTATCCCTTCACCTTTCTCCGTTGCATTCAACGTTTAATATCAGAATTTTTGGTTAAATCCAAAGCTACAACCATGCTTAAATATTCCCCCCTCTTTATTTAGTGGAGTATTTATTTTCTCCCAGCATTTTTCTTGCTGGAAATCTCCCAACACGTTAGAAAATTTCCTCTCGTATTTGAGTTATAAACATTTTTTTTTGAGGAGGTAACCTATTTTTATGAACAGTTATCACAAAATACAGTTTATAGTTTGGCGAGCTGTTGGTTCTTTTTCTATTTATTTTTGAAAGTGTGTTTCGTGTTTCTTGGTTGAATTTTTTTTGCATTATGAAATATCTTTTCATTTCTTTTATATTATATAATCTTTATTTTAGTGCTTCTTATTGTTCCAAGTGAAGCAGTTTCTACTGAAACAATTATACGCACAAATTACGTTCACTGGAAAATACAAAGGAGAAAGCTTCTCTTGATCTTATTTCATGAAAACTAACTTTTAGAAGTTGAGTGTTTTCAGTAGCTTGAAAGTTATAGGAGTCTAGGGACCTGGGTTCGTCCACTTCGAAAACTTAGGGTTTTCAGAGATTAACGTGGATTTCCTGCTTCTTTGGTACTTTTGGGGTTTAGCCTTTATCTGATTTATCTGAAAAACATCTACCTTGCTTTGTTTCTCTGTAAGCCTCCGATCTGATCTCTGGGTTTACTTTCTTTGCCTTGTTTCATTTATTTGTTTTGACTTTTTTCTTCCATTCTGGGAAGACTTGACTTGAGTTTTGGTTTGGATCATCATGTGAAGCAATGATAATAGTTAAGCGTTGGCTTGTTAGGATCTGAATTTTTTTTTCTAAGAGTCTAAGTAAACAATAAAATGAAACAATTTTAAAAGAAAAAACTGAGCAAGGTTTGACAAGTGAAGTAAATTTGCTTGCAAAAATATGGCTTTCGCTTTCCATGATTTTTCTTGTTACTATTTCTATTTTGGATTCGCCTGTAAAATCTTGTCCGCACTATTGTTTCAACTTCACATGAATTTCTGTTCAGTTTGAGGGTACTTATCAAACCTCTCTCTCTTAGCTTTCATGGGTAGTTTAGCTTTTTTTTGGGTCTGAGATGTGGTTCTCTGCTTAGACAATTATTGCTACCTGTAATACATCTTTGTCAATTTTTTTTCTGGTGCTTTTTATTGCAGATCATCGATCTTGGAAATGGAATATTAAACTCGTTGAATTGTGTCATTTTCCTGCTGGAAGCTGAACTGGTGTTGCATGAGTTTCTTGGATAGGCTAATCCACGGAATCTTAGTTAAATCAAAGGTGCAAGTGTCATCTTAGTCATGGATATGAACAATTTTAGAGCTGAATCGCATGTGGCACGGAAAAGCCTACGAGATAAGCTGAGGGTTCCGCAAGGGAGGACTTCCCCAACAGTATAAACCCAGATCTTATTCAAGTTCGAAGTGTTAGAAATGACCATCTGTTATTCGATCCAGATGTTTCTTCTTCAGGCATCTTCCATGGCTCCTCAAGCTCTAATGTTTTTCCTGCTCGAAGTGGTGCAATGCTACATCTGGAATTACAAACAGCTCAAGAACACAGGAAAATACTTCATGAGGAATCGTCGTTTTCAGGTATTTCGCAGTCAAATTTATCCAATGCTTCATCTAACGTCTCCGGTGGACCACGTGGTTGTGGCAACTGGAAGATTGTTGATTCACAGCATACTTTTCGATTGGATGGTAGGTTATGCAAGTGGATTAGCTAGTAGGGAAAGCAATCAGGACCCTAGGTTTGTTGGGGAAGTCATGTCAAATAATGCAAGGGCAAGCAGCTTATCTGCAGCCACGCAATCTCTGAAGCCAAGTTATGGGATCCTATGTTGTTGTTATCATTTGTTGTTGTTGAGTAGTACTATTTCAAGTTTAATATGATGATTAACATGTATGTTTCTTGGGATGTAAAGGTTTGCAGAACATACAAGCTAGCTATACCATCAGCAGATGCAAATGGTGGTTTCTTCATTTGAATCTGTAGCTGGTCTTGGTGCTGCCATGCCCTACTTTTCCTCGGCTTTGAAAACGGTAGGAAAGAATTTCCGATGCCTAAGGAATGCTATTTTAGACCAGATTAGGCACATATCTAGAGCCCTCGGGGAAGACTTATTGTCCCCAACTACTGGTACTAACAGTAGTAAAGGTGCTATAAATATGCAATGTTTTCAAAACTGGACCGGACATTGAACCGGTGAAGGTATTGGTTCACTGGTTTAACCGGATTCAACCGCGGTTGAACCGGATTTTATATAAAATAATTTTTTTTTAATTTTACATAATATTCAAAGAAATATTAATATATATGTAACACTTTTTTTTAAGTTTACAATATTAAAAGGTATAAAAATATCACAAGTCATAACATGTATAAATGAAAAACCATAAAATCAAGTGAAACAAAATGATTCAAATCAACTACAACATAATATTTAAGGTAAAACATATTAAATAATAAATATAATTATATAACTATAATCAAAAAAATAAAATTGGGGCTTAAAAAAATTATAACAAATGATGTCATTTGGTTTAATTGTTTTAAAAAAAACAATCTCACATGACTAAGAAACATAGAAGAGTATCCCAAAAGTTTAAAGAGTAAAAATATGAGAATAAAACAATCCCACATGGCTAAGAAACATAGAAGAGCATCCCAACTTACTTCTATAAATAATAGAGGTAATTTGACATTTAAAATCATGGAGCCTTTTGGTGAGCACAAAGCTAACTATTCTTTCGCTTCAATTGAGCTCAAATTTTACGCTTCAATTGAGCTCAAATTTTAGGCTTCAATCGAACTTCTAAATTTTTTTTTGAGTTCAAGTCTTTTCGATTTCAAGTTTTAATATTATATTTCGAGTTGATAATTTTTAGCTCGTGAGTTTTTGAGTCGAGTTGAGCTTACTTTTAAAGTTTTCGAGTTCGAGTCGAGCTCAGCAATACTCGAATTTGACTCGGCTCGTTCAAGTATGCGGGTCAGAATTCTGGTGGGGTTAACATTGGGTTACTTGAACCCCAACAGCATGGCTGGAGTCCCCAGAGATGACTACCGGAACGTTCGGTAGAGATTCTTAGAGCTTGGCTCTTTGAACATTTTCTTCACCCGTAAGTCTCACTTGTCTTCTTTCTATTTTTGTTCTCTTAAATGTGTAATCCGATGTGATGTTCTCTCTGTTTGCTTTTCTTGTAGGTACCCCACAGACACAGATAAGCACATGTTGGCCATTCAAACTGGTCTATCTCGAAATCAGGTGGGCTATCTGCTCTTCTTGTTCGTTTAATTATATAGACCAACACTGGTTATGTGATCCAATTAGAATTTAGTACAGATTAATATTTCAATTGAAGCATCTTTCGTTAGATTTGAAAAGATTGTCTTGCAAATATCTTGCTTTCGTGATCTTTTGATTTGTTAATGAAGGTATCTAACTGGTTCATAAATTCACGAGTCCGGTTTTGGAAACCAATGGTGGAGGAGATACATATGCTTGAAAGCAAAGGTTTGGCGGAAGGAAATCTTACTGAAGTAGAAATGAGTGAGTAATGTGCTAGCTGTTCTTTGCGGCAATTTTCTTAAATGTGGCAACGAAAAATCCTGCTAGTACAAGGTTTCAGGTTACTGAGAGACATTATTTGTTTGTCATGTTGAATGTTGAATTGACTGCAACATGTCGTCATTACTGCACGATAGTTACATGGCGAGAGCAATCATTTTGGAGATTAGAAGGAATAAACGTGTGAAGTCGATTTGTAATACAGTTTGTTAGAAGCTGTTTGGATTTGTCATGGTAGGGTTTAAGTAAAGCACAAATGTATAGAACAGTTTTTAGTTTCACTTTTAATGGCTGCTTAATAGTGTGGGCTTGCTTTACGAGAAAATGGCACATATGTGAAGTAAGAAGGCCATCGAAGTTATGAGACCCAAGGCATGCAAAGCCTAGCTAGGAATATTTTGGCAGTTGAGGTAAATTTGGCCATATCATGCAAATAGCAATTCATTTAGCCCTGTGCATGCATGCATGCCATATTTCCAAACCCTACATATTATAACAACATATATACATATATGTAAAACAGAACAGGAATACAAGATACACTCTACTACATAGAAGCTAATTTGATTAGATCTCATAGATATATCTAGAAACACCTAATTAAGCACGAAATATAACATTATCGTCATCGATAATTATTTCATATACCATCATCATATACCAGTACTGCTCAGATTATTTCACCCGCTTCCATCTCCGCTACCACTGCCGCCGGGATAGTTATTGAAATCCTGCCTAGGAAGATGATGATGGTTGTCCACACCGCTTGACGGATAGCTGGCTGTGAAAGTGCCACCATTATCAAGCATGGTTCGTCCATGCTTGACCTCGTCTTCTACTTTTATAACCTTTCTATTTGCAGCCAAGCAGCAACTCACCATCATCAGTATTGCTAAAGCAAGACCCATAAGCTTCATTCTTGCCATTGTTTTTTTTTCTTTCTACAAATCAACAAAGTGAGATATTAAACCAGCTTATATATATCAAAGTTGCAAATGTTTGGTAAGATCAATTAGTTTTGCGAGACATCAACTTACCCAAGTAGAGAAAATGGATGAAGGAGTGAGCAAATGGCCTTGGGGAGAGCCAGGAGGAGAGAAAAACTAAGGTTTATATAGGGAGACAATTAGGTTTAGGATTGATGTTCATTGACATTGGAGGGAATTAAATATAAATTTGGTGATGGGATCTCCACCAGACGAGGCAACATTAAGTGGGATGACCCTATTGTTCTCATACAAAAATTTAAAATAATATATAAAAAATGATGAAATCGAAAGAAACATTTTGTCCACACTGGCACTCGCCAAGTAGCCATAAATATTGGAGAATTCCACATTAGGAGTGGATTTATTTGATTTAAGAAAAAGGTCAATGAAGCACAATTATCAGTGGGTGTTCTATTGCTATTGCCTGGTGATTCATGATGTCAAATTAGCATAGCCACCTTAAAAACATGTAAAGCTGAACTTTCTTGAAGCTTAAACATAAGAGCTGAGGTTTTATTCCGGAGAAACTTTATTTAAACTTAGGAGTAACGTTTTTTTTTTAATGAAATTCACGTTTTTTAAAGTTGAATAATCTAACTCCTTGAATGTTTGATCCTAATTTCATCCATAATCGCACAATGCAAACACGACGGAATTATATCATATGGTGATTCTCAAGATTTTCTACAAATTATTAATATCATCCACAAGTGATATATACAAAATTATGGCTTTCAATCTACAAAAAGATCATTATGTAAAGTGTAAAGGGGTGTAATTATTGGAACCAATTGCAATGCAATGCTACTTGATCAATGGTCTTGTAGAACTTGGGAGGATTTTGTTCAAACAAATATTCCACCTTATTGGACACATTACTGTTGGCTTTTTTTTATTATAAAAAGACAACGCAAAAGCAAATAAAATATATATGGCCAGATCTCCATCATTCTACTATTGTAAATTTTTATTCGTCAATTAAGACATGATAAAATTACTGACATTTCAAGTTCAATTCTGAGGTCGAAGCACTAGAACTTACTGGCCTTTACAAAATATATTCATGCATAAATGGGGAAAACTGCATAACGATGAAGCAAATTAGCATTTTCTTTTCCACTTGTCGTGGATTGAGTTAAACTGGGTGCAAGAGGAAGAGACGTTGATGTTATCTAGTTGTGTTTAGCTGGCCTTGAATACATCAAATCCAAGGATTGTCAAATGTCAATTCCAGTTAATTGAAGTGGTGTAGTATCACTTATCAGCAATGTTGATTTTATCATGAGCAATTATTATACCTCTAATCTTACCACTAATAGGCTCAGATTGCCTTTAATTATTACGATGTATGAATTTCGTTACCGATAAGAATATTGACCCTAGTTCCCAAAACAATGTACTCTCTGGGTTTCGTATTCAAGGGACTAATATATCTATTGAATTTGTTGATGAATTGGATTAATCCTTTTCGAATGTTGATATGCATCAAGAGAAATTTCATCGGCTAGTTTAAATTATCGGACCCAAATCTTGTGTGCTAGATCCCTGGGTCAGAGCATCAAATTCTTATAATCACTTTTTTTTTTTTGCGAAACCAATCTAATGGGCAATGCAGGCTCATCCTACAGCCTTACCTCTCTATGAGGGGGTGGATCACGCTTGACATCTTAGAATTTAGATATTTTTTTATATTTTTAATAATAATTTATTTTTATTTTTTTAAAATTTTATAAATTCACTCCTTAACGTAAAATATTAAGTCCATCGTCTCTAATAATATGACCTTACCCCTCTCGAGTTTCAATAAAGGAGGTCAAGCCCTAATCTGCCCTCATCCTATGGCCTTACCCCTCTCGATTCTCAATAGAGTAGGTCAGGCTGTAATCTGCCCCCATCCTATGGCCTTTCCTCTCTTGGTTCTCTATAGAGGAGGTGAGATGAAATTGCATATCTATCAGGGGACATGTCCACATTCACATAATCCATAAATGCATTCAAGAATTCTCAAAGTTGAAATTATTTTTCTTCATTCTACATCATGACATACTCACAAAAGGAAAAAAAGAATATTTCAATTTTCTAAAAATAATATTAAAATTTTATTTGGTTCAATGGAAATAAATTTAAAATGATGAAAAATTGAAGGTAGAAAAAATGAAAAATTGTATGTTTTTTTTTATCAGTACATTTTGAAAGGATAAATTTTATTTCTAATAGATATTGAATCTCACAACTAAGGAGATATGAGAGATATTAATCTAGAGCTTAAACTTTTAATCGCTTGCTCTAGAGTTGTTAACATTTATTACTTGTAGAGTTAAAAGATAAGAATGAACAAAAATATACAATTCTAAATTAATTTACAATTATTTTCTTCAAATGAGAGTTATTTTAATAAAATTACAATTTGAGAATGAAAGTAATTATAAATATAGGATTCTTCATTCTATCCAAATAATGGTTACTTTGATGAAATTTATTAAATGTCGAAGATTAAATTGATTAAAAAATAGAATTTCATAAGGATTATTTTGATAAAATTAAAACATAGAGGACCAAAGTAATTATAACAGTAATAAAATTTCATCCAAATAAAGATTATGTTCATAAGATTAAAAGGTTGAAGATTAAAATGATTAAAAAGTAGGGACCAAAATAATACAATATTATAGATTAAGGATGAACGATATTGCTTGCAACATATTATCTTTAGTTGGTGGATTACCAGAGTTAGGGGTATACAAAAATATCCGACCCAGTTGGCCCGACCCGTCAACCCAAACTTAAAAAATCGGATAATTTTCTATTAAAAAAAATTATTCGACCGGGTCGGGTACCCGGCCCGACATTTCTCGGGTTGGGCTCGAATCACAAAATTAAGTTTTTCCTGTTATCCGAGTACCCGGTTACTTATATATATATATATATATATGGATTATTTATATTATAGATTATTAGATTTTGTATTTTGTATTTTGTATTTTGAACTTTTAAATTTTATGTTTGGATGTTTGAGTATGTAATTCGAAGTTTCGAACATTTAAATTTGTATATATATATTTTTAAAATTAATAATTTAAAAATAAAAAAAATAGGTCGGATACTCGATTACCTGGTACCCGCAACATCCGGGTCGGGACATGAGCCGAGAAATCACCGACCCGAATTATACGGGTACTCGGTAATCGAATACCCGAGAATCTGGTACCTGGATTTGCACACCCCTAACAAGAGTTACAAAATGTAAACGATTGTGGAGGAGTTAACTATATAAAATCATAGAAGAAGTTGGTTGAACTAAGTTCGTGCTTGAATCCATATTAACTATTTGACTTGGATTAAAAAAACCATCACAGCTCTCAACCAAACAAGCATTGTTATCTAGTTGGCAACTCTGACAAGCAAGGTTTTTCAATGTGACCAGAAGTCCAAAGAACCGCTTGTATTGTATATATTCTGGAAATGAATACGCAATTAATTAACAAAAGCTTCCATAACTTTCAACATTATATATATATATATATAATATACATTCCAGCTTCAGCGGTTGCTCGATTAAGGCGGCCGGTGAAGACACCTGCTTAATTTTTTATTTTTTAATCACTCTACTATTGGTTTCTACGCATTAAGTTGGAATATATGAATGTGAACCGTATACTTTTCTCTGTCTTCCCAAGAAAATACAAATTATTTAAGCTCTTCAAATTCATTCCAAAGCCGGTAATGGTGTATAGCCTTCATCAAAGGCAAATCCAAGTTTTTGATTTTTCTGTAGAACATGATGTAATGTATAGTTGTATTTCATATTCCCAAGGATGATTAAATTGATTAATGTAAACACAGACTTCTTCTTTTTCCTTGTTCTCTGGTCAGGCTTTACATCATCATCTTAGTATTCATGTTTTTGTGTTATTAAATTTTCAGGAACCGCTTAACTAGAGGAAGATATAAAGGTCTCGAGTCCTTCTTTGTTGTCAAAATAACCGAAATTGTTGAACACGTTGAAAAGTTCATTAATACTTCATCGGTTGAACAATGTATGAATTAAATTCTCCCTTTCAAAAGTTTGATAGTTTATCATGTTTGTTGAATCACATATTAAATATTATTATATTTATTGTGATAAAAACACAGTTTATATAAATATATTTCTAATCTTTTGGCTACACACTTTATTATTGTGTTTTTCACTTTCAGTTAGGATTCGTTTGTTTCACGTAAAACATTTTTTGAAAAAACGTTTTTCTCACTTTTCAGTGTTTGATTGGAAGAAAATATATTAATCAATGTAAAACATTTTCCTGATCAACATAATTTCTTTGCATTTTCTAGAAAATAAATTATGGTTTAATGAACTATTAGGGTTTTTGGAAAATGGAAATACGCACGCACGCTTTTATTGATTAAAACTAGTCAGCCAGATTCAGCCGTCACCCTACACGTCAACGTAAAGAAATCATATCTTTAAGACAAGACAGAAGAAAGATGCAAGTGATGCAAAGAGCCAAAGACCACCTGAGTTTGTCTTCAAAATTCAATTCCATCTTTTACTTTGACTAATAAGAGAAGTTTCTCTGTATCATCTAATCGTTAATTTCTTGTGTTCATACTAAACTATCAAATGACACAATTCTGGGAAGTAATTGACCCTTAAAAAAACATTTTCAAACGAGAACGAGATGCGCTCGTTTACCAACCGAAGCTCTATATAAAGCCGCCCCCCTTCTCAATTCCTACAAACAATTTCCCTTGGATATTACAAGCTTCATTAACAAAGATGGCAAAACTACCAATCCAATTCTTGGTTTGCAGTTTCTTTATTGTTCTTGCCTTGCATTCTTTCTCAGTAACATCTCAAGAGACCGGTACGTAACGCAGCCTCCACGTTTGATTACGAATTCCATGCCTGCATTTGATTAAGTTTTCAAAGTAATTTGGTGTTGTTGCAGAGGATGAAAGTGAGTTTAGCTATAGTGCAAATAGTCCAACAGGGCCTGCAAGATGGGGAGAGATTCATGCCGACTGGGGCGCATGCAGCAACGGAACAATGCAATCTCCCATTGATATGTCGAGTGAAAGAGTTAAGATAGTATCCCATCTAGGGAGGCTTAGGAGAAGCTACAAGCCCACCGACGC